TCTCTTTTTTAAACATCATTTTATTGATGGCTCAGGGCTTCCATTTTTAAAATTTCACTTTTACACAAACTTTTTGAACCCTCCTCATGAGCTGATAGGTTGAGTACAATAACACAACTAGTGACAGAGTGCTAAGATTCTCCACTATTGAGAAAGAAAATAAAATAACCGTTGATAGACCTTTGAACTGGAGGAGAAAGAGCTTTTCTTCAGCCAGTCACCATCATTAGGCTTCATTCTATTTGAGCCAATTCACATGAACATAGCCGCTCCACTTTGTGGCTGGTTTTACCTCCCTTGCATGCTCATTCTGGAACCGTCAGGGCGGCCAGGAGAACAGGGACATGCTGCTGCTCAGTAGAGGCTTGTGGAAGACACGCATCAACAGCAACACGCAATGTCCAGTGTAATATTTATAAACGATTTCAGTCACCAAGAACAAGAAGACAAGAATACAAGTATCCTTAAGAAAAGTTTGCAAAATGGGCAAATCTATAGCAACAATAAGTAGATTAGTAACTACCTAGAGACATGTCAGGAGGGGCCGAGGGGAAATATCAAAGTAACAACACTGAGTAAGAAAAGACAAGAGAAAATAAATAAATAAATAAATAAATAAATGAATAAATAAATAAAAAAGAAAAGAGAAGAAAATGTTCTGAAATCAATTGTGGTGATGACTGCACAACTCTTTTTAATATGAGTGAGCGATTACATTGTGAGTGACATGCCAATAAAACTAACAAAAATGGTTTATTTTTAAATTCATTAAAAAATTTTTTTTAAGATTGCAGAGAGGAAATATCTGGTACTTTTTATTTTAAAAAAGGAATGAAATTTGCACAAGTATCAATCTTCTCATCAACATAAATGCAAGGATGCTAAAGAAATGCCTTCAATGATTTGAAGGTCAAGGATTTTCAACCTAAAATTTCAAATTCGGCCAATGTATGAAGCAATCTGTGAAGAGACAAAAGAATCTTTTTCAAAATGTAAGGGCTTGAAAGCAACCTCCCTTCAGAAGTTTCTGAAAGGGATTCCATTGAGATGGGTGAATAAAGAAATAGGAAGATTTCAGATGCAGGAAGTCATCTCATGAAAAAATATGCAGATCCTTAAAAATATTTTATAAAGATAGGGCTTCTTTGTATGTTTCCGTAAATGTTATCTCTGGAAATAATGCAGGATGTCTATATGTCAAATTAATTGAATGAGAACTAAAGTGATGTTTTAATATTTAAGAAACTCTAAAGAAAAAAAGATTAGCTACATGAAAACTAGATATTTTGCAAATAGTTTGAGATATTTCTTTTGGGTTTTTTTTTAATAGTAACCAATAATCTGTGAGATATACAGGCTTATCATATTTCTATCAGTTTTCATGATTTCTATCAGATACCATGTCTATAATGCTTTAAGTTCCTCTAAGCCTTTCCTACATTTTTCATTAATTAGCAAACTAAGTTCTTGCATAAAACACCTCTTACACAAAAATTAGCTCTATTTTTTAAAGGAAAAAAGTCACAAAAACAGAAGACTGATTTACGCATGGAGTCACAAAATGACAACCAGTTATAAATACATGTTTTAAAGAAAAGGAATCTCAACACTTTCAATACTCCATTACTATTCAAGGGATTAAAAAATACAGTTCTATCTTTTTCTTAGAACGAATAAAGACTAACTTGAAGAATTACAGCTCTTCTAGATTTGTTTTTCCCCATAATTACTCAATTGTTCATTAGAATATATGTAAGTCCTCTATTGGAATCTTTGCACCAGCATTTCATCAATGGATTTAGCTACAAATGCCTGGCTATACAATTTCTTCCACAAAAGCAGTATATTTCTGATATTTATGTCTTTAAAATATCCTATAGTAAAATTAATATTTCTACACAGGAAAAGAAGGACCTATTTAGTCCCAGACAACTTGATAACATCTCTTTCAACTATAGTTATAATTATCATGTACGAACTTCCAAAGTAGAAGTTGTCAAGATTTAACATTAGCATTAATTTGTCATAACTGACGGTTACTAAAAAGATAATGGCAAAGCATCCATTTCTCCTAAGACAGCACGGATTGAAAGAGAAGTTTCTTCTTAATTCTTATTAATCTGTTCATTTTTAAATTAAATTGATTAGTAATTCATTTTCTTTCCTTTTGTTGGAAGGCTGTTATTATCACAGAGGTTCTCCAAAGTTACCAAGTTTGAGATCTTTAAGCAGCTCAATTACGTCTAGTGAATTCTAGTATAAATTTTACCACTTTGTGATATTGGTTTATGTTAAAAATCTTAATATCCAGATTCTTTCTATCTGGAAACGAAACTTGAAACACTGGGCATTTGCACGCTTCATTTCATGCATCAAAGGAAACACTATCAAGCTCTTAGCTGCACCGTTAGGATAAGAAGAATATTGCATATGCTGTATTCTTTTATGTCCTCCCTTTGATAATCTAAATGGTTTTTATTGATATGCATCTTCCCAGAAGAAAGAAAAAAACCAGTTCCTGTGATTTCCTTTAAAAGTATCTATTTCTTGACATCCCCTTGCAGAAAGGTCACAGGGAGGAGATGAGCCAGTCAGAGTGAAATGTAGCAACGATGAAACATACAACTTTCCTCTAGTTCCTAAATGCTTCCTCCCCTCACTATCATGATCCCAATTCTACCTTACAAATCCGGCTGGACTGGAGGATATGCACTGGTACAGATAGGAACTGACACAGGGAATCCAGGACAGATGATCCCTTCAGGACCAGTGGTGAGATTGGTGATACCGGGAGGGTAGAGGGAAAGTGGGGGAGAAAAAGAGAACCGATTACAAAGATCTACATATAACCTTCTCCATGGGGGATGGACAACAGAAAAGTGGGTGAAGGGAGACATCGGACAGTGTAAGACATGACAAAATAACAATAATTTATAAATTATCAAGGGTTCATGGGGGAGGGGGCAGCGTGGAAGGAGGGAAAAAATGAGGAGCAAATACCAGGGGCTCAAGTAGAAAGCAAATGTTTTGAGAATGATGAGGGAAACAAAAGTACAAAAGTGCTTGAAACAATCGATGTATGTGTGGATTGTGATAAGAGTTGTACAAGTCCCCAGTAAAATTATTTAATTTTTAAAAAGGGGGGAAAAAAGTGTTCCTAATGCTATCCATCACTAAACAATCAACTATACAACCACTTGAGGTGTTTTCCCTCAAGTAGTTCTTTTTAAGTTAAAAAAAATAATCTGTTTTCATAGACAAAAATATTTTTTTGATCAAGAAAACTTTAAAATTATCCAGATGATTCAGGTATTATTTAAATTAAAATTCTTTATTAGATTAAACATTCATTCGCATTATATTTTGAATGTAACGCTGAAGTAGCAATTTGGGGGACTAGTCAGTTTCATGATTGAAGTTTACAACTTCTGAAAAGAATTAACTTCACTAAGAATAGAAAAGTGAAATACAATGTCATTTGATAGATATCGATGCAGCAATCTTTCTTGTATGTTTAGACTTCAGGGAAATATTGGTTCCCATTCTCTATCTAAGAAGATATTTCTTCTGAATCAATAGTGGCTAACTGTATAAAAATCAATATTTATGAATATTAACTATATTCAAGTATATTCAATAGTAACTATATTCAAGTTATCTATCAATGAGAATGAGAAGATACTTGCTTAATATAAAATCATATCCATTAATTAACATTTATGGATATAAGAGTCCTCTCACCTAAATTTTCTGTTCAGAGAAATTTGCAGAGTGCCCAATGGCCACCAAACACTCTTAGTGATCTTCATATTTAATTCACACTTCTTCCACGAGCTCATGACCACCAATGCCTACAACTATGAGTCGGCTTCAAAAAGTACATGGAAAAGTAGAATTAAAACATGATGGAATTTTCCTATGAACTTTTGGAAGTTCCCTCGTACATGCCAAGTACGTAGTGGGCATTCAGAAAGTATTTATTAGAATAATGACGGCATGACCATCAGAAATCATCAAAAGAAACAGAAAAAGGAAAAAAGCTTAGTTAAATGCCATTTGACAATACTGAACGCCAAACTCTAACAAAAGTCTTATTTTTACATAGTTTAATGTAAAGGCACACTGGCAGTATCTTTTAGTATCTTCTATCTAAAATTAGACAAAATCACCTTTCAACAAATAGACTGCTAACAGTTGAAAATTATTTGAATTATTTCAATTATTTACTTTATATCCACAGTAAATTCTGAAAATGTAATTAATCAGTCTACATACCTTAACAAGTTTCAAAAGCTCATAAAGGTCCTCAACTTCATCCCCTTCACACTTGGTGTACACTCGTCCAGTATCCACACTCTTTCCTCTTATAGTTCGGCGGTAGAGAGGAAGAGCCATGGCTTCAGCATACAAGTCAATGGCATGATGACCCACCGTCTGGTACATGTAGCTATCCAGTTCATCTGTCCCAACTAAAACAATTCAGAGGGAAACAATCAGGAAAGTGGACTGAAGAAGAAAGTGGATTTGGAAATCTATCCAGGGTTTACTGGTTGGACAAGGTCCCACACAACACTTAAAAGCTCACCATACTTTAAAATGTTTCTGGAAAAGTGAAATTAAAAAAGATAAAGTATGGAATTTGTGTCTCAGCTCCATCAGGAGCAATGGCATTTTTGAACACAGTGACAGCAGCCATTTAGTCCATCCCCAAAGAACTGGGAGCCCTGGGATTTAACCATGTCCGTGCAGCCTTTCTTACATTATTAACTGAAGAGAAATGGGTGCCCTCTAAAGACATTTGTTTTAAGGCTTAAAACAAAAAGAAACCAGAAGGTATCAAATCCGGACAGTTAGTTGGGTGCTTTCCCATCAAAAGTCTCACAAAATTGCCTTTGTTTGATGAAAGGAATGAGCAGCAGCATTGTCAAGATGGAGCAGGACTCTAATGACGCTTTCCCAGGTGTTTTCCTGCTCAAATTTTGGCTTTCTCCTAAAGACCTTCTCTGATAAACAGATGTATCATTTTATGGACCTCCAGAAAGTCAACAAGCAAAACGCCTTGAGCCTCTGTGCTAAAACTGCCTTTTGCTTCGGACCAGTCCGCTTTAGCTTTGATTGGACTACTTCTACTTCTTGTTAGCCACGGGGTGGATTGTACTTGATCTTCAGGATCCTGCAGGAAAAAATGTCTTCGATCATCTGTTACAGTTATTCAAAGAAATGCTTCATGATCTTGATCATCCTTGCTTAAACTTTCCAGTGGAAGTTCTGCTCTTGTCTGCAGCTGCCCATTTGGGGCACTCATTGAGTGAAAATTTATTTATTTTGGAGGGGTTAGAATTGTGTAAAATAAACCAATGGATAAGTTGGTGGCGCTGGCTCTGGTTCCAGCTCTTAATCAATGTTGTTGTTGTCGTTGTGAGGTGCGGTCAGGTTGGTTCCATAGTGACCCTATGTAACAACAAAGGGAAACACCACCCGGTCCTGGGCCCTCCTCACAGTTGCGCGTATGTTTGAGCCCATTGCGGCAGCCATTGTGTTAATCCACCTCATCATGGGCCTTTCTTTCCCCACCCATCCACTTTACCAAGCATCATGTCCTTTTCCAAGGACTAGTCTCCTCCTAACACGTCCATCTTAATCAATGGTCCTGTTCCATTAAAAAAAGGAGCCCTGGTGATATAGTGGGGTCCACTTTGGGCTGCTAACCTCAAGGGCAGCAGTTCGATCCCACCAGGTGCGCTACAGGAGAAAGATGAGGCTTTCTACTCTTCAGATGTATAGTCTCGGCAACTCAAAGGGGGCAGTTCCTCTGTGTCCTGCATGGCCACTAGGAATTAGAATGAACTGGCTGGCAGTGATACATTTGGCCTGCTGCTGTTGCTTTCACATGCAACATCAGCTCATCGCTTCTAAAAATGAGTTATAAGTTTGTCATTGCTGAATTTGGGGGGAAATCTTTCCTATAAGCTTTTGGAAAAGCATCAATGATTTCACTACACTTCTATCCAAGCTGCACCATAAATTTGACATTTGCATTTGCTTCACTTTTAGCAGAATTTATGTTGCTCTAATTAAGGCTCTTTTCAAACGGCTATAGTTCTTAGTGCCTCAGACTCTTTCCTGTCCAAACATGTAATAGCAGTTTAGTATGAGTTCATTTTGTTACAAAGAATGTTTGCAATCTATGCAGGTTTTTACTAATTCATATTTCCCATGAACCTTTTGAGGAACCGTCATGTAACTTCTGCATTTGGGGAATGCAATACTATATAAGACTAGATTATTTGCGCATAGCTGCATCCAGTTCAAATCAGCTATATCTGTCTCTACTGCTAACTGCAGATGAAATCACACATAATGTGTTATAACGGTATATATGGACATTGGAAGAGTAATAAGTATGTCCAGGAAATTTTGATTTCATTAAACATTTTATTGTTGTCTTGGTGGCTCCTATCTAATTAATTGGACCCTGCAGAGTCGACTTGCTCTACGGTGTCTTCAAGGCGATGACCTTTTGGAAGCAGGTGACAATACCTGTCTTTCAATGTGCATTTGGGGAGTTTGAATTTCCGACCTTTCAGCTAGCAGAGAATTTTGGCTACATAAACATCATTTCAGAAGCTTCAAGGTTGTTTTTGATGTTGTAGCCATTAGGTGCCATCAAGTCAATTTCAATTCATCGTGATACCATGTGCCACCCTCACAGATCATCGCTGTCTCGGCTCATTGTCGCCACGGTGTCAGACCGGCCTGTTCATGGTCTTCCTCATTCATGCTCGCCCTTGACTTTACAATGTCTGATGCCCTCCTCCAGGGACCAGGCCCCCCTACGAACATCTCCAGAGACCTTGAGTTGAAGCCTCACTATCCTCACTTTTAAAGGCCAGTCTGGCTATACTTCATCCAACACAGGGTTCTTCTGGAAGTCGGTGCCATATCTACTATTCTTTGCCAACGCCATAATTCAAAGGCACCAATTCCCTGGTCCTCTTTTGTCATAATTCAGCTTTCCCATGAATGAGGCAAGTAATTTATTTTCCTAGTAATAAAAGTAGGGAGCTGCTGGTGTACTGAGTTATGCAGTGGGCTCCTAACCACAAGATCAACAGCTCAAATCCACCAGCCACTGGCTCAGAGAAAGATGAGGCTTTCTACTCCCATAAACAATTAGTCTCAGACACCCACAGGGGCAGTTCTATTCTGTCCTATACAGTTGCTGTGAATTGGAACTGACTCAATAGCAGTGGGTCTGGTTTGAGTTCTAAGAGTGACTTATTTGATTTTTAATACTTTAAACAGGTTTTTGGCAGCACTTTTGAAAAATACATCATTTGATTTCTTGACTGCTGCTTCCATGGACACTGATTGTAGATTCAAGTAAAACAAAATCCACGAAAATGCCAACCTTGTCTCCATTTATAATGATGTTTCATGGTCCGGTTGTGGAGATCTTTGTCTTCTTTACACTGATATGCAGTCCATACTGATAGCTGAGCCATTGAGATCCCTCAGCAAGTGCTTCGAGTCCTTATCACTGTCAGAAAACAAGGCTGTCTTCCTTTACTCCAGATGTCAAATCCTCACATACTCCAGCCTCTTTGATTATTTTCTGACCATCCGGATTGGATAAATAAGGTGAGAGGATACAGCCCTGGTAAACACCTTTTGTTCTTATACATGACTGCCTATTAGTCTGTGTACAGGATCTACACGATTAAGTTTTCTAGAATTCCCATTTTTAACAATGCTGAGTGCCTAAAGCCAATCAGTAAGACACACATACACATCTTTCTGGTATTCTCTGCTCACAGCAAAATCAATCCAATATCAGCAATGATACTTTTCATTGCACATCTTCTGCATCCATCTTGAATTTTTGGATATTCCCTAACTATGTACTACTCAAGCTGTTTTTGAATTATCTTTAGCAAAATTTACCTTGTTTAGAACTTTCTACATTCTGTAAAATGATCACAAATATGGAGCTTTTACAATTGGTTGGGCAGATTTCCAAATTTCTTGCCCCAAGTGAGCACCTACAGTGAGTGATGCTTCAGCTTGCGGAAACATTTTAATTGGTAACCCATTAGTTTCAAAATCCTTGTTTACACCTAGCCCCTTCAGTGTGGTTTAGGCTTCTTCCTTCAATACCATTGGGTTTTGACCATAGGGTACCTCTTGAAATGGTTGAATATTGACCAATTCTTTTTGTTAGTGTGACATTTTGTATTCCTTCCATCATCTTTTGATGCTTCCTACATCACTAAGTGTTTTGCCAACAGAATTCTTCAATATTACAACTAGAAGCTTGATTTTTTTTTTTCTTCAGTTCTCTAAGCTTGAGAAATGCTTACCATGTTCTATCTCTTTGGTTTTCTAATACAGGTCTTTGGACATCTCATTACATTACTTTGTCTTCTTGGGGTGTCCTTGGAAATTTTCTGCTTAGCTCTTTTACTTCACAATTTCTTCCTTTTGCTTTGGTTTCTCTACGTTTCAGAGATTCCTGTAGCATACATTTTGGCTTTTCTTGTCTTTTTAATGTACAATATTGTCTTCGTGTACAATATTCTTGCCCCCCACTTTTCAGGTATTCAAGCATTAGCGTTCATTATGCCAAATCTATTCTTGAAATGGCCTCTAAATTCAGGTGGGACACACTCAAGATGGTGTTTGGGGTCCCATGGACTCATTTTCACTTTCAACCACTTCAACTTCAACCTGCATATGAGTGACTGATGAAAATATTTCACAGTCAGCCGCTGGTCTTGTTCAGGCTGATTGTATTGATCTTTCCCAACAGATACAGTAAATTCTAGAGATGTACACTCCATCTGGAGAGCTCTCCGTGACAGTCACCACTTACGATGGTTTTTAAAAGATATTTGTACTGAATAATGAGTCATTGGTCTTTCCAACTTCGATTGTGTGTCTCCAATCATCTCGATCTCCAAGGCAATATTTTCCAATCACAAATTCTTTTTCTGCTTCCACCTGTCGCAGGCTGGTCCTCGATGTTTACCAGGCCATCTGGATTGCACGGGTGATCAATTCAGACTGCAGGAATTTATAGAATTCCTCAGTTTTGCCACCTTTGGCTATAGCTTTCAGTGCAATCCTCATACTTAATAGTCTTCCTTGTAGAAATATAGATATTATCCTATCACTGTCAGCATGGCAGTGATGTTGTTGGGTGCCATGAAGTTGGTTCCAAATCATTGTGACCTGAGGCACGTTTGACAAAACGCTGCCCGGTCCCGTGCCATCATTACAATGTGTATGTTCAAGCCCATCATTTCGCCCACTGTGCCAAGCTATCAGGTCGAGGGCCTTCCTATTGTTTGCTGCCCCTCTTCTTTACCAAGCATGATGTTCTTCTCCAAGGATTGGTCTCTGCTGATAACATGTCCAAAGGACTTCAGGTAAATCTTGAAATATTCTTGACAATGAAAGGGACACTAGTCCTCTTCAACTTGCCACCACCAGCATATTAGCCATATTATTTACTCATTCAAAATGGTCAAAGCCAGTCCATGTCCTCGCATTTATGCCTAGGATATCAATTTTTATGCAAACCAGTTCAGTCTTGACAACTTCCAGTTTTCTTGGATTCATGATGCACACATTCCATGTTCCGATTACTGAGGAGTGCTTGTGGTAGTTTCTTCTCATCTTGAGGCAGCAAGAGAAAGTGTGGAACGGTTTGCTCCATCAAGTCATTAGTTCCGCTCTGTTCTGAGGAGGTAGTTCTTCCCCATTCATAACACGAGTCCTTCCGACCAGAGGGGCTCATCTTCTGGCACTATTATCAGACAACGGTCAATGTTCCCGTTACACGTAAGGTTTCCACTGCCCCCACCCACCTTTTTCCCCCAGAATCACATTGCCAGATCCTATTCCTTGTCTTAGTCTGGAAGCTCTACTGAAATGTTTCTACTGTGGGCAACCCTGGTGGTTTTTAAAATACCAGTGGCATGGCTCCCAGCACCACAGAAACACACATGCCACCACGGGACGGCACCCTGACAGAGGAGTGGTGGAAGAAGTCGTCTAGATTTACAGAAAAAGGAATTTCTGAATTAAATATCTACTTATTTAATAAATGGCAAATATTTGTAAAAAGCAAATATATTTTATATTCAGTAATTCAACAAAACATAGTGATTAGTGGTTGCTGTCGAGGTGACTTTGGCTCAGAGCAACACCGTAAATATCATGGTAGAGCAGCACCTCTGACTGTGATCTAGCAATTCCATTTCTAAGGAAAAAAAGCATGAGTAGACATAATTTAAAAAGATGTACATCACAGCACTAGTTTACCAGCCGTAAAACTATAATACAAACCACCACCAACAACATCCCCACAGCCACTGAGTCGACACTGACTCGGTGTCCCTGCAGAATAGAGCAGAACTGCTCCTTAGATTTTCTGAGACTAGAAATCTTCACCAGGGCAGGCAAGCCTCATCTTTCTCCCAGAGAGGACAGTGGATATGAACCGCTAACCTGGGAGTTAGCAGCCAAATGCTTAATCTACAGCGCCCCTAGGGTTCATCTAAAGAAACCACAGTATAGTCACCTTATAAAATGGAATGCTTGCTACAACTTTGAAGACAAATGTTCTAAAGAATACAAATCCCTTAGATATTAATAGTTATGAAATGAAATAAGTTTGTAAAACATGGAAGTGGATTACTAACATTATCTAATTCCATTTAAATAATGCTAAAAAGTATCTTTACTCTAGCTCTTCCTCTGCTTTTAAAATGTCCCAATAAGGGGAGAGAGTACGAATGCTCAAATCTACCTATCCACAATTTTCCTTCCTGAAATATGTTTCATAGGAATTGTGTTCCAAGGAAGACATCTGAAAAATGCTTAATGACATGGAAAAATATTCACATCATACTATGTTTTTATAAAAGGTTACAAAGCAACGTATTTGAAATGTATGTATGTATGCATGTATATATGCCAAGCAAGTCCACTGAATGTGAATATTCCTCACAAAGAGAATGATAAATACTACAGTATAGGAGCTCAAGCTCTTTAATAGTATAGGAGCTTTTCTATAGTATAGGAGCCCTTCAGTGATCTCAACCTCACAAGCTCAACCTCACAGTCTGAGGTTGTCAAACACAAGGCTTTTGTACAACAGAATGCCATCTGTGTGCTCACAGTACGTTGATAAACCTGTCCACTCCTCTTCCAGTAGAAAGTACAGATACAGCCAAAATTACCTAAAATACTTTCAACCTTTCCTTATCTTAAAATAGACTGAATCTTAAAATGTATTCTTTTAAAAGAATATTGACAGTATCAAATCAATATAGTTTAAGAACTTAGAGCTTCTTAGCAAAAAAATCTCCTGATTAAAACATTTTATTGGCATCAAAACAGAGAGGGCAAGTTTTCTTTAAGGCTCTGGAATCTTAAACACAATGTCACTCTTACCAATGGAAGTTACACGGCTAGAATGGTATGGGACCCAATGAAAACAAAAACTCCACTGGTGACTGAAGCATCTCAATTAACATACCAAAAAAGTTCCTAATATAAATTTAAAGAGACAGTTTATGAATTTTATAAGTTCATATTATCCTCAATGAGGTGAATAATGTCTCCGCCAAGCTTCCCACTTAAGTCCTAATGTGAATTTATTCCAAACAGCTTTGGTCTGTGCTTGAATCCACACTCAATGCTTGAGGAAGGAGCACACAAGAGATCCAACCATGCATTGCATTAGGTAAATGCAATGTGTTGAAAAGCAAGTAGGTTGCTTTGCAGTCTAAGGTGTGCCTGACTCAAGCCACGTTATTTTCAATCACTTCTCATGCACGTGCAAGTGGGATATAGAATAAGGAAGACAGAAGAATCGATGCATTTGCATTCTGGTGCTAGTGAAGAATATTAGAAGCACCATGGACTGCCGAAAGAACAAACAAATCTGTCTTGCAAGAAGTGTTATGTAACCAAGGATGGTGAGACTTTGTCTCATGTACTTTGGGTGTGTTCTCCGGAGAGACCAAACAGTGTGCTTGGTAAAGGCAAGGGGCAGTGAAAAAGAAAAAGGCCTTCCATGAGACGGATTCACACAGTGGTTGCAATGATGGGCTCAAAAGCCCAAAATTAGGAGGATGCCTCAGACTGGATGGTGTTGTTCTGTTATACACAGGGTCACCGCGAGTCGGCACCAACTCGATGGACCTGACAATCGCGCCCTGCACTACAGTCATCTCGATCAGTCATTTCTCATTAAAATTCCCTTTGCCAACCAATCATTAAGAAACATCAGTTTCCTCTCCATTGACCAACCCATAGCCATCCATTCTCTTCTAGTAGACTGATTGTTTCAACAGATTTTTCTTGAGAATATTCTAATTCCATTTACTACCAATTTTTTTCTCACTAACAATAATCTAAAAAGAGGCTCTATTCTACTGTGAGATACAATTTAAAGACATATTTTGCTTATCATCTTAGCCCCCTGCCAGTGAGCCAGGAGCACATGGTATAAAAGCTGGAAGAAGTCCTAAGAAGGGAATCTATAATCACAGAATACAAGTAATATGTACTATAAAAACATTAGAGGTTTAAGTATCAAGACCCCTCCAGGTAGAAAGCTTAAAAACACACTTGCCTCACTGGCCAAAAGAGGGATCTCTGCTTTGCTCACAAAACATAAACCTGAAAGGAGATTCTGCTTTTACTTTTATAAAATTGAAAGTACGAGTCGCAGCTCTGCAAGGCTGTTCAAGCTGTTTTACTTTGGACAAACTGACAAAACCCTGAGTCTGTATTCTTGCCAAAGAAAGGAAAGTTAATGTTCTTTTAAGAGCTATTGAGGGTTAACGCATACATAAGTAAAAATATAGTACAGACCCTAGCATCTAGTAGGTGCTAACTATATATTAGTGGTTTGGTGGGTTTTTTTTTGGGGGGGGGGTGATTTTGCTTTCACATACTGCATTTTACAGGTGCATCAAAAACTTCAAGAAAAATTTGAATTAAAAATATAGCAGATTTTTCCCACATTTTATACTATCTGCATGAAATGATAAAATTAGAGTTTAAGTCATTTAGGAAATTCTCCCATCATTGCATAAGCTTACCTTGATTTTCAGCTGGTCTTAAATTTGCTAAAGCAACAATCTGGTGCCCAGCGGCAACGCACTGCATCATATTATAACAGCTGTCCTTCCCGCCGCTAAACAAACAAACAAACAAACATTATTCAACATAGCTGCACTAAATATAAAAATAATTCCACAGCCTTCCAGACCACTTGAGGGATTGCTTTGTAGTTTGAAGTAGGATAACTTTTCGATTTGTAATAGAGGCTTTACTTAATGCACAACACACAAATATACTCTTACCTTACTGGTTTTACTTCATATATACAGAAATATATGAAAATTATCTCATTTTACATTCCAGTTAAACACTTATACACACACTCGATATATGAGTAAGTAGGAAACCATTTATTGTGGGCAACTAAGTGTTTTCACTAATTAAAGTGATCTAACAACTAAGTGTTTTCACTAATTAAAGTGATCTAACAACTAAGTGTTTTCACTAATTAAAGTGATCTAACAACTAAGTGTTTTCACTAATTAACGGACCAAATGAAAGATGGGACATTCAATGTACTGACACGTTGATGTATTTTGTGGATTTTGTTTCTGTAGAAATCTAATGAAATAAAAAATCCTTACACCTGGACCAAGAAAGCACGTCATGAAAGTGGGGAAGAGACTGAAGCTGTCGTGGATTCCGTTTTAGTGGGATCCACAGTTAACAGGCATGGAAGCAGCAGACAAGAAAACCAGTGGCAGACTGCGTCGGGCACATCTGCTCCTCGGGATTTCTGTACAGTGTTAAAGAGCAAAGAATGCACTCGGGACTAGGATGCCACTGACCCGTGCCAAGGGTTGGTCGTTGCTTCATCAGCATGGGAAAACGGGATGGTGAAGACAAAAGACCGAAGAAAAATTAATAAGGACTGGCCAGCACTTAGAAGGTTTCCAGGCTTTGTAAAACACAAGGTCAGCAAACATGGAGGAAGCCCCTTGACGAGGCAGACTGACCCTGCTGTGATGAGCTCTAACAAAGTAGGGACTGTGAGAATGACCGGGGACTGGGCAATGTTCTCTTCTGCTCTGCCCAGGATCGTGGTGAGTCAGAGCCAATTCAAGGGCACCTAACAACATCGAGCTAAAGATATGTAAGAATTTCACTTTCACACACACACACACACACACACACACACACACACACACACACACACACACACACACACACCATCTCTCATTTTAGTCTGCAAATAGATTCACTGTATTGAAGTTCAAGTTTAGTGCATATATGTATGTCTTGGCTTATGCAGTCATACTTACAGCATATCTCAGCATTTTTACAGGTTTTATAGAATAGCAAGAATTCTAACATATCGTTTCCTGTTTAATCATGATATTAGCATTGTAAATAAGTACATTTTATTATCTCTCATATGCTCATGAAGAAAAGGAGCTGCAGGAAGTTGTTGACCCAAGTCACAGATACAGAAGAAATTCAGCTGAAGAACTCAAACTTGGATACACTTTCTTCAACTCTGGGACAATTTCAAATTGCACCCCAAGCCTGGGTCCCAATTAGACATTGTTGTTAGTTATTGCCAGGTCTCACTAAAGGCCATCGCCTACGTCATAGGTCAGTGCCATCCTTGTGGTCCTTGCAATGTTTGAGTCCATGATATGGCTATTGTGCAGTGCCGTCATTGAGTGGCCCTTCCTTCGGGGGCTGATCTGCCAGCACAAAGTGGACAATAGCAGTTCACAAGGCCTGTCTCCCTGAAGCCTGCTGAAACCTGTCCTCCCTGGGCAGTCTAGAAGGTATTTGAAATACCTGTCCCATGCCTTCTAGCATCATTAAGCACTACAAGTTACAAGCATATACTTCTCCCATAATCTTCTTGTAACATGTATAATTCAGACATTGTTACCAGAGCTATTAAATCATTTGTTTCTCCTTATAGACTTCATTATAGACTTAGGAAATTGAACAACAAAAATTTGCTCCTAATCCTGCTTCTCTGGCATAATGCTGCCAGTTCCTTTTCCACTATCTATGCTAGTCTAATGTGGAGTTTTTTCAAATAATAATTTAAACATATGATCTCTCACCCACTCATAGCAGCTTAAAATGATCCCTAAAACCCCACCTTGCCATTTACTTAGTGTCATTGACCTTACCATTCAGTCATCTTGCTAACAATCATGTGCCAAGGTAAATGTTGTTGGCAAAGAACAAACGCACAAGCGTATGAGTTGAGAAGCTGAACTTCGAGCCCACAACAGAAACCGAGCAGGTGAGAGACACATTGTTTCTGACGGCTGTGGAGTCCGGGCCAACTCATGGAGACCCTGCGTGCGTCCGAGTCCAAGCGGGCTCTGTGCGTTGTCCAGGGCAGCCTTTTAAGAAGTGAGTGACCAGGTCTTTCTTCTAAGGCAGCTCAGGCGAAAGCAAACCTCCAATCTGGTGGTGAACAGCTGAGTATGCTAACCATCGGCGGCACCTGGGTTCCCAGAACCGAACATTCTCCTTTCATCTCAAAAAAAAAAAGACCTATGCAGAAGTGACTGGAAAGGCAGTGAGACAATTGTAGATGTAAGAAAAACACTTCAAACATTGACTGATACTGGATAGTGTCCCTCATTGGTGCTATGGTTAACTGGCCCATGATCTAGCGGAAAGGTCATAGGTTTGAGTCAACTCATCGGGAAAAAAATTTTTTTTTTCTTTAAGAAATGAAAAAAGAGAAGAAGAAAAAAGAAATGATAAAAGAGAGCAGCTTAGGAGTATTTGTTTCCAAAGTTTTCTAGGGCTAGGAACTCCACAAGGAAGTGGCTGAAGCAGGAGTGATATAGCTAACTATTGTGTCAGTATTTATCTAAGTCATCCACCTGTAGAGGGGTTGGCAGCAAAAACATTTGGACAATATCTCAACCCTCGTGACTCCGAGGTTCTCAAGCTGAAGCAGGAGAGGCTGTGTCCCCACAACACAGTCCAGTTGAGGCTACTTTCTCTCTTTTCAGAAAGATCTGTCTGTCCTATCTTTGCAGTGTGTTTAAAACAATACAATATAAAATAAAGGCTAAAGGGCAATATGAGCTTCAAACCAGTTGAAATGATACCAGACAGTAGAGCAAAGCACTTGTTCAACTTCAGGAAAACTTTCGTCACATCACCTGCTAGCCTGCTTGTAATTGAAAAGCCTAACCGAACTGGTCAGTTATTCTACTATGTGTTTGGGACAAGGTCAAGTGTGAGGACACAAAAGAGGAGGAAGGATGCCCTAAAGGGGCCATGCTGCTTCAATGGCAATAGTCTCACCTACCACAAGAGAGACCTAGATTGATTTCCCAGTCAATACACCTCAAATGCAGCCGCTATCCTCTCCCAGTCAAGGC